GAAAGGAATTCAATTCAAGATACTTTATTTGTACCTCAAGTTGCATTTTGAGGCAGGGAAACACAGCACCGAGTTAACCAGTAGATAACTCGCCTGAACAAATAATAAAAATCCAAAAACAAAATCAAACTTCAAAATACAAAAGAATGAGTCCATAGATGGCCAACAAAGTCCAGCACCACAAAGGCACATATAATGTTTCAAAAATAGCAGAGGTTAGAATTAAGTGCTTTTATCACTGTGTACTCTTGCTGTTCACAACTGTAATGGTCTTTGGAACAAAACCAAACTTCCAACTGTTTGTTTTACATGCAGGCAATTTAAAATACATTCCATTTGCTTTAAGTGTTCATAGAGGACGTGTGGTGTAGTTGATAATTTGATATGTTTTAAAAATGTTCCAGTTTCCCAGTGTCTTAAAAATTGATACTTTTGTTTTGCCAACATTTTAAAACTCCAACAATATCATTTCTCTTTCCTAGAAAAGCAAGAAAATGGGCAAATATTAATCTTTGAGAAGCTGGAACTTTGGTTTTTATCTTGAGATATTTGCAGATAAATCAACTAAATGTTTCAGCCCTAGTCAGTCTTTTTTTTTTGTTGTTGGACGTTTATAGTGAAGACTTTGTAAACTGGGTCACAGAGGTCTCACATCTGTTGGTTTAATCTGCTCAATATGTATTATATAAACACCTGTCGGACATTATCAAGGTCACTGAGACAAACAGAGAAGTCTGCCTATGTTCATTGTGTTCTCACTGTCTTTGTCTGAGCGTGTTCCTCTGTGTTTCTGTTGAGGTGTTGTCTTTAGCTGGATTACATGGCTGCCTGGCCACATCACTTAGCCCTGGTACAACAATGGAGCCCCTCTGCCGTCTAAGTACACAGAGCTCAGTTAACAGACACCAGCAGTTCACCCAGGCCTACTGTTCCCACACAGAAAAAGAGAGATTGATTGCAGACTATTCTTTCGCTCTCAAGCCACAGCCTCTCTCAAATATCCACCCCCTTAAGTCTGTCTTCTAAATTCTGTGCAGCGGTGCTAATACAGCAAGGTGGAGCGACCCCCCCCCCNGTCTCACTACTTTCTCTTGATGTGTCATCCCACTCAAACTCACTACTGGCTCTGCCTCTCAGGTCAGAGGGGGTGATGGTCCCTGAGCTGCTGCCCCCCCCCCTCTCTCCCCCTGCGCCACACATAACGCTCACACTCAGCACACTGCCCACTCCGCTGACGAGTAGAAAGATAGCTCCATAAATTCTGCTGTGTGTCAATCAGGTTTCATTTCTCTGTGGTAGACCCCAAGTCTCTTAGATTCAACTGTCTCTACGGCCCCTGCCAGCTCCAGAGTCTGCCATGCATCTTTAATGAACCTCTTTGTGTGTGTGTTGTTTGCGTGCGTGCGTGTGTGTGTGGGGGGGTGGTATCTGAGGTTATTATAGTCTTACTGTTTTGAAGCAGGTCAATTACCCCTCACCAGGGAGCAGCACACTGAGGCAGCACAATGCTGAGCAGAATATTAACACACAATATTGCCGGACTTAAAACACACACACATACACACACCACATTCACTGTGTGCGTGTACTCTGTGGCTTCAGGGCAGTGGGTTACTATTATGAGTAATGTTAGTCCTTCATATTACCTGTGGTCTTGTACAGTAGCTCAGTCTGACCCTTGACCTTTCTGTGAAGGAAAACCAGGACCAATACAACTATCCTACACCAGTAATACTCAGACATAGACAGTTCTATACATGTAGATGTTATATATATTGTTTCGTACTCAGGGTTTAAATCAACATTATGGAGTTAGCCGAAAATGAATTCATCTCTTGAGATTAATTCTGGTGATTTGAAACATGTATACTTTTAAAACCTGAATATCCTCAGTTTTACACTCCTTTTGTACTTTTCCTATCTACAGTTGGTGACCCTGCGAGGCTCCATTTTAGAGGATGCAGTGGCGTCTACGGGAAGACACGGCACCGTGCGGGGTCTGCCGCTCAAAGAGGTCCTGGAGCAGGTGGTTCCCGAGCTCAGCGTGTCCTGTTTGAAACTGGCTCTCAGCACACCCAAAGTCACAGAGCAGCTCCTAAAGCTGGATGAACAGGGGGTGAGTTAACGGTCTGTGACTGTATTTGGATTGTATTTTCAGTCTTGTGCAATAAAACTCCTAGCAGCAATGATACCTCCGTTCAAATTGTCCTCTGCACAAATACAGGAAGTTTACCTGCTCAGTCAGTAACAGAAAGAAGCTGTGTACAGCAGGGCGTGGTGTGTTTCAGTGTACGACTATAAATGTCCATATTATCTCACATTTTATTTTTACAGAGGGTGACGTGTAAAGTGTAGGTGTTTTGCCAGCAGCAGGCCTTTTGTTGTATGTGCAAATGGTTTATACAACAATGAAACCGTCCTCTGTGTGTGTGTATGTGTGTGTGTGCGTGCGTGTGTAAACAGTAAATTAGAGTTATACGTTTTCTTTCCTTTTTCAGTTTTTCTTTTCCAGATGTTTCTGGTAGGGTTGTGTGAGTGTGTTTCTAACGCTAGCGTTATCTCTCCTCTGCATTGTAGTTAAGTCAGAAGCACAAGGTTGGAGTTCTGCTGTGCCGCGCAGGCCAGAGCACAGAGGAAGAGATGTACAACAACGAGGAGGCGTCACCTGCGTTCTCTGCCTTCCTGGAGCTGCTGGGGGAGCAGGTGCTTTTAAAAGGGTTCACCAAATACGCCGCTCAGCTCGACACAAAGAGTAAGCACTTTCAGACTTGCACCTCTTTTTGTACATGTGATGTAGAGTGTGAGTCAGGGCCACGATTTTGGGTCCGAATCCAACTGAGCCTGAGAGAAAACTCACTGGGCATTAACCAATCCGTCAGGCATTCTGACCTGAACACGAGTACCATTTCAAAGTTTTTGGCTGCATCTGTCTGGACCGAGCTCGGGTCGGATATCCACACTCAAATGTGTTGACAGTTTTATATCTTGGTAAATTCATGGCAACAGAACAAGTTACTAACACTGTGAACAACACATTATGTCCAGCCAGAGCAGCACAAAGTCAAGTATGCACATCTTTTTTGTTATTATTAATACCACTGCTACTGGAATGGAACTCATCAGTGCTATAGCCCAGTAATCCCATTAAATTTAATCAAGCGGCACCAAATTGCACACACTAATAGATACCAGTCCCCTTAATGTGTTGAAAACGTCAAAAAAAAAAAAATGTTGAAGAAAGTTTAAAAATCCTGGATCTTGCACCAAAGTTTAATGGATTCCTAATTGTAGTTTTGTGATAATCCATCCAGTAGTTTTTGTGTAATCTTGCTAAAAATACAAATAAAAACCAACTAACAAACAGACAGGGGTGAAAACATAACCTCCAAAGCGTAGGTAATACATTTATCTGTAACATGAAATCAGTTCAATAAACTATGAAACATTGTGAATTAGCAATTTTATGTTGTGTAGGAGATTCATCTCACATCATATCAGTCTATGAAAATGATTTAGTTTCCCTCGCAGTGCAGAGCATAAGAGAAATAAAAAACAAACGAAACAGCTCCTACTGTGACAATAGTGATAGAACTCCCTCCTTATGTTCATTAAGGAAATGTATAAGAAATCTAGGAAGATGTTAACTTGAGCGAAGCAGGAAAAGTAGTAAATCCAGTCTTTAACGCCAGAGCACATTTTTATATCCCTTACTGATGCAGCCTTTGAGAAAAGAGACAATGTTCCCAGCTCCTCTCCAGCAGTGAGACGTTTCAGTAATGCTCCTGTCATGTCTGAATAAAGCTGTGAGGAACAAGACGGGCCAAGTGTCATAACCCCAGAGTGACAGTCTGTGAGCCCTCATGATCCCTGTGAATGTGATTTCACACATCACACTGTGAATCTGTAGTTGCAAACTTCTGCCGTGAAATTAAAATATCTCTCCTCCTCCTTCCAGCGGACTCCACGGGCACCCACTCCCTGTACACCACCTACCAGGGCTATGAGGTCATGTTCCACGTGTCCACCATGCTGCCGTATATGCCCAACAACCCACAGCAGGTAAGAGCTTATGAGCACCCTGACCTAAATACAGCAGTGTCACCTGGAGCTGCGTGCTGCGCTGCAGGTCAAACACGGACATGTTCTGCTAAAACCCACGACTACCCTTTGTCTCCCAAAGCCTTTCAAACTCTGTACATGTGTGTTAGTTAAAGCCTCTTCCCCAGGAAGGATTTGTGAAGTGGAAACTTGTGACTTGTTTCACCTTCTTCATTTGGAGTCTCTTTTCTGTTTTTATAGTCTTTATCCTCTGTGTCTCGGATCGTGTCTCCTCTCCTATTCACTGGCACTTTCATTTGCCCTCTCATTCTTTAACTGGATCAGAGCTGGGTGGGGTTCTGTAGTGACTTGTTCCTTTATGTTCTCCCTCTTTTATTTTTTCTGCCTGCCCACACATTCTCCTGGGTGTTGTGTGTTTGCAATTTGGGCTGTGTGCGCAAGTGACCTTTGTTTAAGATTTTGCGTGTTAGTATTTTTAATAGTTTGCATAAGTGTTTTGCGTGAGAGGCTCACTCAGATGGACGCATGTGCTCAGACATGAGCCAGAGCTCTGGGTGCTTGGGATTAGCGTGTTCACACTTTGTAACGTGTCTTCTCATCGCTGGAAAACAGAAGTAATTTGTTCTTCCTCAAACAATTCAAAATATCATAAATTAATCTTAGAAACTGGAAGTGTATACTTACATATTACCATACACACAGCAGTGTATTGCTTCTTAGTTAAAACCAGCCATTTTCATTAATATCTTGTTAAACTTCTAAAAAACTTCTAAAAAATTAGTAAACAAAAGAATTTAAGGGTTGCAGCTTCTAAAAGGTTTGGACATTTAATAAATCAACTTTTAAATTTTATAAATGACATTAACTGCAGCAGCAAAGACGGCCACATCCTCAGATGAACCTCTAGGTGGCAGCATCTGACATTAAACCTCAGCTACAATGCAGGAACAGAGAGATCTGTGGCAAAGTAGAAATACAGATTGTATGACCAATGCCAAAATTTGCTGTTTAACTGTTGAGTCTATTTCTGTGTATTTTGTACGGTACAAAAATACAAAATAGTCATGGTTCCGATAAAAGTTCCAAATTATAAATTAAACCAAACTTCTTTGCTTCAGATGGTTAATTCTAACATTCATAGCTCATGTATGCATACAACTGCATCAAGCACAACTATCAGACATTTCCGATCGGCAGCCTGAGTACGTGTGAGGATGCTCCCATGGCTCCATGCTGGAGAATCTGTGTATCTGTGGCCAAACAGTGGGCTGGATTACATAATTGGTACTTTCACACTTCCCTCTGCAGATGAAGAGAGGATTGGCAAGAGTTTCAGCACAAACACAGGCTGGACTGTGAGCCATGTTTCCTACACGAACAGAGAGAAGGACTAACCAGCACACGCACAGACACAAATAGCCCACACACAGTCCAAAAAACAAATGACATAAAGAGCTGTTGTTTGGTGTCTAGTGTAGTGAGCATCTCAATCTTTTATCGTTTCATGAGTCATTAGAGTCAGAGCCGATTATGTTTGATCATTTTATTAATTATATCTCTGCTCTCCTCTCCCTCTCTCTCCTCTACTCCTCAGCTCCTGAGGAAGAGGCACATAGGTAACGACATCGTCACCATAATCTTTCAGGAGCCAGGAGCGTTGCCATTCACCCCTCAGAATATCCGTTCACACTTCCAGCACGTCTTCGTTATCGTGCGTGTGCACAACCCATGCTCTGAAAACACCTGTTACAGGTAAACGATAAGAACAGAACCAGCACATGTCCACATGATAAAAGAAAATATTGTGTCACACTGTAAATCATCTCTCTCTTCACTTGTCTTTCAGTGTTGCTGTGACAAGGATGAAGGATGTGCCCCCGTTTGGCCCATCCATTCCCAACAGTGTCACCTTCCGTGACCCAGAAACCTTCCGTAACTTCCTTCTAGCCAAAGTTATCAATGCAGAAAATGCAGCGCACAAGTCAGAGAAGTTCCACACCATGGCGACAAGAACGCGACAGGAGTACATGCGTGACCTGGCTGAGAACTACATCAGCAGCACACCACTTGACTCAGCCGGGAAACTTAATAACCTTATCTCGCTTGCATCTAAAAAACGTGAGCGGTCGAAGCCGCGAGAAGGAGCCGAGCTGGGAGCCACAGGGGCCGTGGCCTGGAGGGCCCAGGCCCAGGACTTCAGCGGAGGTGCGACGGAGCTGCCCTGTGCCCTGGGTTTGTCGGCTGAATACGTCCTCCTGACAGACTGTTCCACCAAAGAGGTGGTGTTTAACTGTTTCTGTGCGGATGTGATCGGCTGGACGCCGGAGCGTCTGACACTTAAGATCTTCTATGGCAGAGGAGACCACATCGCTGTGCGGGTACCGGAGGGCTGTGCGCAGGACATCAGAGAAATGGTGCAGAGGTTAAAGGTGAGAGTTCAGTGCTCGTTTCAGTTCAAGTGTTAAGGATGGCGACTGTCAGACCAGACCAGAGATGAGGATCTCTTGGTTTTAGGCAAAAAGTTTGTTTCATATGTGTGAACACAGTATCTCAAAAGCATGTTGAGGGAATTTGGTTCGGTTTGACTTGATGAACCGATTAGATTTGCAGAGGTCAAAGATCAAGTAACAAGGTGGCCTTGTGATTAGACTTCAGTGGTCATACACCTGCAGTAATTCTAGTCTTCCTTATACATTTTTTTTCTGCTACTGCCACTAATTGTCCCACACATGCATATACCTGTTTTTGATTGTGCACAGTGCAAACAAAGTGCGCACCCACTTATGTAATTATTGCCCTACAGAGCTACAGTGATCAAAACCTCCGCAGAGATCCTTTAGAAGTCGGGTATCAAAACTCACATTTTAGTCCCACAGAGCGTTTGTCTTCATTTCACTTTAAGTCCTTAATTACACGTTGTCAGGTCACTGAGATTAATAGTATGTGATTATTTTTGTTTTATCTTAAAACTTGTTGGAATTGTTTTCATTTCAAGGCTGTGTAAAATCTGAGCTCTGTTTTATCTGCTTTGAAGTACTGAGCTCAGGGGATTTCCACTGTCCGTATTGTTTTTCATTCCCTGAGGGCTTTTCTAAGACTGTAAACTCAAAGACTGAGGGAAAACAACATGCAGGAGAAATAATGACCACAACTACTGTACATGAAGAATGGGGTTCCTTTTGAGAACAATGGGTATTTCAGTTATATTAAATGCTTCTAAGCATCATATAATTAACAGGTACTCTCTGCAACCATGTAACTCACTTTTACAATGAAGCTGTGCAATCACCTAATGATGAACATCATTTCATATTGTGATAATCCCTGAACATTTTGTTGAATTAAATGCTGGGAAAATTAGATTTCCTGGACTGTGAGCTTTGAGATAATCCAACAGA